TCACGCCGAGGACATCCCAAACAGCCCCAGTGCCGCCCGAGCCGGGCTAACTCACGAGTGGACAGACAATAAGAAAAGGGTAGATTGCTCGGTGTAAGGCCGAAATAAATGAAAATAAAAGCTCGAGGCGATGGTAAATTGGGGGGGTAGGTAGGTATATCGTTTCGCGTGATCAGCAGACGCGTCGGAGTAACAGAGTAGGAAACGGGGGATGGGGGTGTAGAAGCGTCAAATTCCCCCTCACGGAGAAGCGCAGACATAGGTATACACACGTGACCCTACACGGAGCGAGCTACAGGGGAGGGGGAGGGGTAGTGTGTAGTCAGGTGGTTGCAGACGGGCGGCAGACGCCCTGTGCTCGTTTCCCTCCCACCCAGTGCGCTTCGCACGATCCATGACTCACCAAAGCGCCGAGGGATGAGATGTGCCGCGCTCGACTCTTCCTCACACTCATATATGTATACCTACTTGCGAAGTTCGCGCGCGTGCTAGGGTATACACACACACACGATGGAATATCTTAAGGCACGAAGCTACACGAGGGTAAGGGAGGCTTGTACGATGCACACCGATTTTAAGGTGGGAAAAAGGGGGGGGGGCGAGAGATCGTGTGTTTTCTATGCCTCGCCCCGAGTGCGAAATACGTGTACACTGCGGTGGCGGTGTTAATCCACGGCTAAGGTGGCTGGCGCGACTCGAGGGGGCTTTTCGAGAGGCCTGCGCTGCTTATTCACGCCTCTTTCGCTCGTGCGCGACCGAGGGCTTTTTAATTGCGCTAATGGAATTTGCGGTGCTGAACAACGCGGGTCGTCGTCGTCGTTGTTGTTGTTGTTGTTAGATTGATTGGTTCGACTTTTATATATACGTGTGAGGATTTTCCTCGTTGACAGGATGAGTAGAGCAAAAAAAAAAGTGGATGCGGGGCGTCGCGTCGTCTGACTTCGGAAAAGTACTTTTTTTTGGTGCATTGTATTTTGATTCGACAGATTTTTCGTTTATTTCCTCGAGATTACGGCGAATTTTGATACTTTTACTTGGTGCATGGAGTGAAATCTCTAGCTTCCAATTCTAGTGCTGCAATGCTGCGCGCAAACAATAGCAACTCGTGAGCGTACAGTGATTGTCGCTCTCGTGAGAAAATAGCTTGTTTCGCGTGCTGGTTCCATTTTGACGTATATTAAAACAAGCCAGCACGAGTATCATTTATTCAAGGGGATGACAGTTTAATTTTATTTCGGAGCTGGAAGAAGTTTTTCGTGCCAGTGTTGGTTGATGATGAATGATATTGGCTTATTATACGGAAAACTTGTCGTCGAATAGTCCACCTGTAAAAATCTGTATTTGCAGAATATCGCCCAACACACATCGCCGTAGATTCGCAGTAGCAGTTAATGCAGTTTTTTTTTTCCCGTGTACTCGATACGCCCACTTGTAGCGCACGCAAAAACGAGAGCCCCCTAACCACATTCTTAGCAGGAAAACAATTATTTTCATTTTCTTATGCACGGCAATTAATTATTCGACACTTTCGAGCCTCTTGTGTTTTCATCGTGGAAGGAAAAAAAAAAAATAAATCATGCATATTCATACCAGTGCAGCTCTAAATACCGGTGTAAAAATAACGAATTTGCAGCGTCCAGTGTAAATATATTTATGCGCACGCGACAACCGGAGCGTTCATAGCGTACGACCACGCGATCGAAATGGTTGTGTAAAAATATAAAGCTAGAGCAATCAGCAACACGACGATTTTCCGAAAATGACACTTTGGTCAAAGTGCAAAAAAGTGCAGAAAAGACACGCTGGAGCTGCAAAAAATAGAGGGGCAGGGAGGGGGGATCGGGCAAAGGATGATGTATGAAATTTTAACAAAGTCGTCTCGTAGTCAAAAGAAAGTTCATAAAGCACGGCTCTCTCCGGCCAGTGCAACTTCCACTTCTTCCACTGCCGATCTTGCCCAACTTCGTTCCACTTCTCTTTTACCCTATCTCCATTTCCTTACCTCACTCTTTTCTTTTCTTTTCTTTTTTTTTTCCTTTTCTTCTTATAGCTCATACATCTATATATACACGTAGCTCATTCTTTAGCCGTTATGTAATACATTATGCATACAGTGGCTAAACAAAAAAAAATTCTCATGCATGAACTGTTGAAGAGAGAGAGAGTTGCAACGTTGTGTCGGCAGCAGCATCAAAAAGAAGATAAGAGAGAGAAAAAGAAGAAAAGAAAAGAGTAAGAGAGGGGGTGACACAAGAGATTGACGTGCCATCCCCTTTCCTTCGATGGCACACTGGTGTCATCACCGACACTACTATACGCGCACCTAATATGGTTACACCAGCCTGCAACGATGCAGCAGAATTCGGCCGATTCTTGTATCTAATTACACCAACATTAAACATTAAAGAGTGATATTCGCGTGAAAGGGTAAAACAGAGAGGAGGAAGGGTGAGCTTCACGTTGGTGCTTCAATCAGTTGGCTGCAGTGGTGGTGGTGGCCAGTGTAGCTCAATCGGTAAAAGTACAGAGGGAAAAATGTCATGGGTAAAATGAGAGAGTCAGAGGGACGACGCATAACGTCCAGAAAATAAGAAGAAGAAGGAATGAAAAAAAAAAAAAATCGATCTTTCCTCTCTCTCTCTCTCTCTCTTTTCTGCCTCGGTATCCTCCCGTTGCCTCCCTATATCTGCGCTGGCCCGAGAAACCAAACCTTTTGGAACGCGATTCCTCCTTGCAGCCGAGAGAGTCATGGGGCGGGGTGGGGGGGGGGGGATTGAGTTGGAGGAGAGTCGAATGTACCTCTCGTTTCCGCGCGCCGGCGATATAGTTGGGAAAATATCGCGACAATATAGCCGAGCGAAGTTACACGCCGCTCGATGGATAAACTCGCATTACGTCCCAGAGAGAAAGACGAAAAAGGGGGAATCCCACCGAGAGGATTTATAGCGCTGCAGTCTGCCAGTCGATAAGCAATGTCCGACGACGCATTAGGTTCTCTCTCTCTCTCTCTCCCCGGTGTACACGCATAAAATACACACATACTCCTTTCCCCTCATTTCGGCACATTTCTGCCGCTCTCTCGCTCGCCGTGGCTATTAAATTAACGATCACCTCTCCCTCCGCTAGTACATCACTGGCACCCCACCCCGTTTTTTTTTCAAAATTCACCGCTCCGAGAAAGAGCACGTGTAACGATCCCTGTTATACTGCCTCCACCCTTAGTACATCCATACGTAAATTACAACAATTTGTGCGGATCTTAATGGTACGGTATTAAGGTACTTTTCGTCCGTAGCCGTGTACTGCTGACCTCTGCTGACGAGCGCATTTTAATGCCGGGAAATCGCTTCTGCGCAAACTTTTTTCGCGCTACCGCCGCACGCGTACGTCTATTATGTCCCAGGGCAAAGTGTCGAAACTAACTTGTAACGACGCGTTTCCCTCCCCCTCGCTCGGGGATCACGTTTTTTTTTTTTCCGTCGTGACTTATCACGTCGAGCGTCCTTGATGCGATTGGCGATGCATATCGAATGTTTAGCGTGTAATGTAGTTTTTTCTTCTTTTTTTCTTTCCATCTGTTACAAGCTGAGTAATTTGCTTGAGGGGGAGGAGAAGGGGGGAAAAAACAAGGTTAAAAGGGTCGAAGATGACAAAACAACAAACGGCACGTGCTTTATGGGCGTACTTTTTGTCAAAGTTGACCATGTACATATAGATATTTGTAAAAGGGTGTAGGGACGGAATAAAAGAAAAAAAAAGTCTGCAGATTCGTAGTCTTCGCGAACGAGGGCACATAAAAATACGTCATCAAACGCAGAATCGCGTCTATGGGTGGACAATTTTATAGGCGGAAAAATACATCTGGAGTCTATGTGCGGCCCTCCCATGAAGCTTGAAAAGGAGTTTGGAGACAAGAGAAAAAGGGAAGTGAGGAGGGAAAAAAAAAAGGCAACGCGAAGGAGGATGTGCTTACGCCAACGACCCCATAACTGTTAAGCAATAACTCTACTCGAGGCGCAAAAGCCACTGCTACGTACTGCTGCTCTGCTGTTTCGGTGGTTACTTGAGCGCTTTGGCTATCGAGCGACAGAAAATTAGTTTCAACATGCTTTTTTTTTCTTTCTTTCTTTCTTTCTGTTACCATGCTGTACTATCAACGTGATACTATTTTTTTCATCTTCAACGATTATTAATCATTTTTCAGTAACTTGTCAAACTCAAAGCTCGAAGGATATTGCATCCACTCGAAAATAGCTTTCAATAATGATGTTTGTATTGGTATGCGCGTTAAAAAATTTTTACTCGTATAGTCAACTTGAAACAGATGTCTATTGCTGGGTAGACTTGAAATATTTTATTTACAAGACGGTGGGTAACGTGATTCCAAGTATTCGTGACTTCTAGATTCAATTTTAGTATTCAATGAGCGAGTACATATGTTTTATGCATAAAAACTTTTTTAGCATTCTATGTGGTAAGTTTTAGTGCCAGTATGCGAAGTGGGCGCATATACATTTGAGTAGTTTAGTGTTCGTAAAAGCATAAAAAATTCTCAAACTTTCTCACGATGTGTCAAAAAAAATAAGTAAGTAAAAAAAGCGGGTGATCATAATTGGAGCACAAATATAAATATGCTGATTGAAGAATTTCACTAGCGTAGACACTACCATATTTTTTTTAACACTTGGTCTGTAAACATTTTTTTTTATCTTTAGATCTTTTATCACAAGATGATCAGATTATTGGATTCCATGTCAAAATGTATGCTTATAAATCAAAGCTAGAAATCATCCCTTGAACTATAAAAAATTTTGCCGACCCAAAGTTGAATTGTCCCTTTTCTTCGAGGAATCCCAAGTTTCCCTTTTTCCCAGATGCACGCAACGAAATAACATTATTTCGTAAAACAATAAACAACAATTTGGTCTTAAAAATGAAGCATAGCCCAAAGTAAATATACATGTCAATGATTTTTGTCATATGCTTCATTTGATTTTCAGGGCGAACGTTGAACGGCCAGCCACTATTAGAGTTCCCGTTATCCAGTAGCGAGCCGGCGATGGAGCCCTTCAGCATCAAGAAAGCGATGCTCTGGGCCCGAGTCGAACTGAGGCACGCGCACCATTACCAGCTTCACCGACAAAACTTGAAAAACCAGAGAAACATCACCCTCTGGGTATTCAGGGTGCGCTGCGGAAACGTGACGCATTTGCGCGGAAAGGTAGTACATTGATATTTGGCTTTTCTGTTTATTAATGGCGAAATTATAATATCTTGCGATCAATTTTTAATCCATTTCTAGACTAGCTAATAATATTTTTTTAAACCTATTACAATTAATTAATTTTGTTGTTTAAATGAATTCTCGCAAATAAAAAGTCAGGTCAATTTAACTTCCCACCTATTGATGGCTCGTCTTACCTAACGCGCCTGTTTCTACTGAATTTTTTCAAACAGGTTAAATCTCAGTAACGTTGAAAGTAAGGGAAGTAAAATTCACTTTATTGCACGGGTATTTTATTGAATTTGAGATTCAACTCATGACTGGAAAGTTCTAAATACTAAAAAAAAATAAAATAAAAATGAAAAATAAAAAATAAAATTTCAAGAGACAAAGAGGAGTCGTTACAAACAGCACTGATCACGATAACAAAAATTAAAATTATGGTTGAATCATAATTTTTTTAATTGCAATAATACTCTTACGACAAACTATGTACAAATAAAAGAAGAAATATAAGAAAGTAAAAGTTCAGGTAACGTCAATTTCTTTACGTATCGACAGCTTGCCTTACCTTACGCTTCTGTTTCTACTTAATTTTTGCAAATAAATAAGCTCTCAGTCAGTTACGTTGAAAGTAAAGGAAGTTCAATTTATTTTATTGCATGAGTATTTTGATGAATTGAAGATGAAACTCGTGACTGAAAAGTTCTACATACCAAAAAAAAATAAAAAATTTAAACACAAATAAATTTTAAGAGAAAAAGAATGGTCGTTAGAAAACAGCACTGATCAAAGGGGTTAAAAATTACAGTCACGGTTAAAATCATGATGTCTTTTTATCGTAATAACACCCTTACAGCAGACAGTGCAAAACGTTAAGTCACTTAATTTTTCTACCTATCGATGGCTTGTCTTACCTTACGCGTCTGTTTTTACTCAATTCATGCAAGTAACTTGGCTCTCAGTTACATTGAAAGTAAAAGAAGTAAAATTTATTTTATTGCATAAGTATTTTGAAGAATTTAAGATTAAATTCGTGACTGTAAAGTTCTAAATAAAAATTTGTTCAACAAAACTAAAAACAAACTGATTTCAAAGGGGAAAAGTCGTTAGAAACAGCACTGATAAAGTAGCGAAAAATTGAAATTATGGTTAAAATAATGATGTTTTTTAGTGGGATAACATCTTTACTGCGGACTGTATAAAAAGATAGGTCACTTAAAATCATCTACCTATCGATGGCTTGTCTTACCGTACACCTCTGTTTCTACTTGATTTTTACAATTAAATTATCTCTCAGTTAGTTACGTTGAAAGTAAAGGAAGAAAAATTCATTTTAGTGCATGAGTATTTTGATGAATTAAAGATAAAACTCGTGACTGGAAAGTTGTAAATACTAACAAAAACAAACAAATAAATTTCAAGAGAGAAACAGTGGTCGTTTGAAACAACACTAATCAAAGGGTCAAAAATTAAAGTCATAACTTAAATCATGATGTTTTTTATTGTAATCACACCCTTACGGCAGACTATACAAAATGTTAGGTCATGTAAATTTCTCTACGTATCGATAGCTTGTCTTTCCCTACATGTCTGTTTCTACTTAATTTTTGCAAGTAAATTAGCTCTCAGTCAGTTACGTTGAAAGTAATGGAAGTAAAATTCATTTTATTGCATAAGTATTTTGATGAACTTAAAATTAAATTCGTGACAGTAAAGTTCTAAATAAAAATTTGTTAAAAAAACAAAAACAAACTGATTTCAAAGGTGAAAAATGATCGTTAGAAACAGTACTGATTTAATTATCAAAAATTGAAATTGTGGTTAAAATGCGTTATATTTTTAAGTGGACTAACACCTTTACTGCAGACTGTATAAAAAAAAAGGAAAACAAAAAAGAGTAAAGTCAGTAAAAATGTAAAAATAATAATAAAAAAAAATAAATTAAAATAAAACTNAAAAAAAAACAATTATATAATCTGTCAACTTATCTATAAACTACATCCATCGCGTCACTGATTCCCTGTATGAATAGAGAGATAAATATTTTGTCAACTCAATTATCCATACCTTGTAACCACCAATTGAGTTTGTCGATATTGCGAGAGAAAAATCGTAACCCGCGAAAAGAGGCACAGCTAAGTACAGTAGAACTAGAAGAAAAGAGTTGAAGTAGGGTTGGGGAAGGGTGAACTCACGTAAGTGGAAAGAAGACAGAGTAAAGTTAAGTAACAGAAAAAGAGCTGAGGGAAGGACAGGGGAAAAGCAATCTCATTTGATTTATTACCATTTAATCCGATTAAAACCTTTGCCAATCTCTCGCGGTCTATATTCGTTTGATATAACATACACCCCCACTCCCCACGAACGGGCCATGTTGTTCGTACAAGCTGCTAAGTACGAACAGTACAGCTTCAGTTGCGAGGTTTCCCCGCACGGAAAAGGCGTACTGTAATGTAATGCACTACAGGTACATCGCGAAACAGTCGTAATTCTATAGTTGTGAATGATTCTTAAGCGACGCGGGGCGTACGTAGGGGCTTTAACACCCTTATTTCTCCCCCTCCCCCTGTACTCTTATGACACTTCTCGCCGCGCCTACAGTGTGTCGGACACTTGTTCGGCTTGTATGTTTTAGTCTCTTCCTCTTCTCCGTCTATTTCTCCGTGCCTTTGTCACGCATTCCCCCCTCCTCCCGCGATTCTTCTTCTCGTGAATACTCACCCTCGAGACTCTTTTTAACACTCGTTGGACATACATTTTTCTCTAAAGCCTGCTTTACTTTTAATCAACTGTCAATATTGAATTTTCACACCTCCTTGAGCTGTACTAATTTTTACGTCAAACTTCAGAGCTGCGTTTGTATTGAAATTTACTTTTCTGCAAACAAATTTTATTTCATTGCATTATATTTTATTTTATTTTTTTTTTTAATTTTTTTTTTTTTACTTTCAATAAAAACTTTTAATCTGTTCAAGTTACTACTAAATCCTTCTTCTATAAGACTCATTACCCCAATTTAAGCAACCTAAAAAAATTGAATATAAATCAACACCCAAGTAAACAGGGAGTTGATAAATATAAAAACCACCCCCAAATGATCCAGAACATTACATGTAAGCTCAAGTAATAACTTAACATTATATTTGTAGGGTAAAAAAATAATAGAAAACGATAACGATCGTGGTAGATGGGTATGATTTTTATTTTTCAATTTGTACAAAATTGTAATCAATGAGGCATGACGATTTACTTGCATACACATAAATAATTTTATTGCACTCTTTGAGCGGTATTGATATAAAATATTACAATGCATTAGTAAATCATGCAAGAATTTACACTTTACAGAATGTCACAAAAAAGAAACAAAAATTATTTTAGTACCTGTCGCTTATACTTATGAATAACTCGTAATAAAGCGTGTGAAACTAGATTCTTTAAGACTTGTATAAGATATAAATAAGAAATACCAAAAAAATTAGACACAAAATTGAATAAAAAAAAAAGGATGAAAATGGTAAAAATGACAGTCACGTACAAACGTATCCGGTCGAACAGTGGTGACAATGAAAATTACAACGAGGGTCACTTTGCAGGAGCTGAGCCAGCACCTGGAGCTAGTGACGTCGCTGGTGGTGAACATCGGCCAGCTCGGTTGGCAAAAATTCGACGTAACAAGGGTCGTAGCGAGCACGTACCAGTCGTTCAACAACCGTGACAAACTGACCCTCCTCGTCGATTGCACAGGATGCGGCTCCCACGTACACTTGTCCACCTTCGGCGGTCATTCGCCCCACGTTATAGAACCGTCTTTAAATAGCAAAGGTAAGTAGTATGTGTACAAGATTACATGCAAGTTGCGGCCACTGCATTTTCCCACATGTACATATTTATGTATACGTAGCCGCTTGCACCTTTTATAATAGAGCTCCGTTACACTTACGTCCACGCAACGCGAAGAATGTGTGTACGCGCGTCACGCGTCATTATACGTAGGTATGCCCGTAGCACGTATTATATAGATGCCGCGAATAAAAGGACGGAAAATTACAATACACGTGAGTATAGTACCTCAATCCATACAGGCTAATGACGCGTGGGTCTTTATATTTTCTTCATCTTTTCTTCTTCTTCTTCCCTTCCGCTTACCTATGCCTTTATTCATTTCGGTATTCACAGCACTGTCTCTCTCTCTCTCTCTCTCTCTCTCTCTCTCGTATGCACTCTATCGTTTTGTTCATACGTGTATTCGCGCATTGCCTTGATTATATGTCTTATACATATGCATATGTATATTTTACCTGCGATAAAATTACAAAAGTACCAAGACAATGTTCGCACTACGTATATGTGTATATATATTTTACATGTACATATATACACACGTGGTAGCATCTTACACGGTAAAAATCGATGTGCGCGCGACTCGGTGAATCGTTGCCGATGTTAAACTGCAGTGCCTAGTGGCCGCCGGGTAATGCGTGTATGTATGTATACCTATATGCGTATATAAGTACGCTCGCGTGATATAATAGCGCCGGCCGGTCGCTAGTCGTGCACACTTACATAAATAAAAAGTAACGAGAAGCGCGAGTGTATAAAGAAAAGAGGAGTACGGGAAGGGAAAAATAAAAGAATATGTGTGTGGAAGGAAAGAGTGTGCGTGGCACGGGCGACGCGGTGACGGCGATTTGGGGCGTTGTAAAATATAACCGCTTGGCTCTGGTTGACCGATGACTTTGAAATGTGGGGCAAAAATGATTTTTTTTTTTTTTTTTTTTTTTTTTTTCCAGGCACGCAGGATCCAGACCGGCCCTTTTTGGTTGTAAGGACGGACCCCAAGCCCGTTAAGAGAGTCAGGAGAAGGGCGGTCGAGTGCACAGGCGCGGCGAGGGGCCAGTGCTGCAAGGAGAGATTCTACGTGAACTTTGCCCAGCTCGGCTGGGACGACTGGATTATTGCGCCGGAAGGGTGAGTTTTTTTTTTTTTGGCATCGTGGTTTTTGGGTTAGCAACTGCACGTGTTAATAGCGATTCGGTACAAAACTATTCAAAATCATCAAAAACACCGCAACAGTCTGATAGATGAGTGTGTACTTTGATGTAAAAGAGCTGATATCGTCTTTAAGTCGCAAACTACTCAATAGACTTTTGGTATGCAATTGATGCAAAACCATAATTAATGATTTTAAATATATTTTAAAATCGTAATTAAAAATTTATTAAACTTACATGACGTATCATCGTCGTATGTGAATAATATTCATAATTGAATAAATGTGTTACAATGCATCATTACTAATGCACTATACAAGTTACAAGTTAAAAATGTATAAGAGTTGGTGAATTAAGCAAGTCCAAGTTCAATTCATTTTTAAATTATAATAGCGAAATCATCAAATAGTCTTTAATTATAATTGTGTCCATTGCAATATAAAGGATATTTTTATGTTTAATTAACTCATATTACACTAGTTGTATTTTTGTAAGATATTTTATGAGATTGTTTGAAACCACTATTTCACAATAAATGTACAACTGATATAAACAATATAATTTTCCTACTTTCAAATGCCTTGAAGGTATTATAATTTTCTCAATTATAATTCTTTGTTTTAATGCCTTTCAAGCCTTTGTAAATTATTCTCTAATTATTCATTACAATTTGTGAATAATATTAAACAAAAATTTTTACTCTTACGAAATAAGATACAAATTGATTCTGCTGTGTGCAAATCGATTTAGATAGTTTAATAATTATTTACATGAATTTAAAAATACTTATATTTATTTTTTACAAAATAAGAAAATTATTTACTATATACAAGTATTTTTATTTTTTTTTATTTTAATAATCCATTGAAAAAATACTAACATCTCTAAAAAATTTTAAAATAGGAAACTATATTATGGAAAAATTGTTCCCGAAACATTTATTGAGAACTCTTATCTTCAAACATATTCAACATTTTACACACAATACATTGTGTCTTGTGGGTAACCGAAGTATCAATTTTGTTGCAATAAGGGGGTTGAAGATAATACATAAAGATAAATTTTTCAACGATTTAAATATAAATAATCAATTTAATACTTATGAATGATAATTAACTTGGGAAAAAAAATATCTTACAGATGAGAACAAAGATTTTACTGAAAAACGTATACAGAAGCATCATGTCCTTATCTTGTCATAATTTATTTGAGATTGAATGTAGATTGAAAACAATTGTTATTCATCAATGAAACCCTTGGTAAAAATATAAAAAATTAATTCACAGAAATATAATTAAAGTAAAAGTAAAACAATTATAAAAATAATGAACTGTAACTTTTGTAAGATAAAGTGTAAGAAGGGACCGACCCTTGTATATTATTTATCAGATAAATAACTAAACATTTATTAGCAAATTATAACAGAACTGATAGAAATTTATATAAATTTGTGATTTCTAGCTTCAAACAAGACGATTAATAAAAAAAATGTCATCCAACACAATACGCCAACACGACGAGTACAAGCATTATATAATTTTTTGGAGCAAAGGAAAAGAGAGCTATAAAAATTAAAATTTAATAAAGAGATGGCCACGCGAGGCCAGAAAAGGCTATTCTCCTAATTCAGAGACCGATATTTGGCCCAATTTTCAGCTTCGGTCTTATATATATACCTATGTATACGCCGTTCTTACGTACACACGCGGAACAACGCTTGCGCGCGAACTATCTATCTAGCGTATGATATAAGAAATTCGTAGGAAAAAAACGGCGTATGTCAAGGTTTTGGCAGTGGTCTTACGAGCGTTTTTTTCCTTTGAGTTTCTACCCGTACATACATACATACATATATGAAAGCAGATGAAAAAAAAGGAACCTAATTTACATAAAGGTCAATAGAAATCTATATACTTGTGCGCCCGCGATATAAATTACAAAATCTATATTCTCAACGCCGCATAAGAATCAGGTCATATTTTCTTGTAAGCCAACTTATGTGCATCTAGACGACATGCATATATGTACAACGGAACCAAGTGCTGCATGCAAAAATAGGGGAAAGGAAAAAAAAAAAAAAAAATAAAAGACACGTGGAAGTTACGTATGTACGTATGTAGGTGTACGAAGAGTTTGACAAGTATGGATCTCTGTCGTCGAATGTACACTACTTACTATATCCACACGTATAGTTTTCTCTCCAACAACCTAATCCATCATTACAGGTGTCCGCGGTTGTATACACGAATCGAAGCGAAAACACGCAGACAAAATGGATGAACGCAAAGCGCCGTCATTGGCTTTGCACGCGCGAGAAGTGACGATAGGTGCCTATACTATTCTTCTTTTTTTTCTCCCTACTCGATATAATCTCGAATACACGTAACAGACATTCGTAGGGCATCATGAAACCGACAGGGCATAATATGTGCATTGACAGCTGGTGGTGGCGGATTATTCGGAAATTATTGATAAGACGTGGTAGTGGTGTAGAGGGAAGCTGTTCGAGTGCAAAAACGAAGTGTAAAATGGTTTTTTTTTTTTTTTTTTTTTTTTTTATAAATTACATTATGTCGTCGTCGACGACGGCGTGGAGAAGGATTGTTGGGGTTTTAAAGTGAGTAATCTAGAAATTTAATTACCGAGGTGTTGGAAAAATGTGCTGCGGATTTTTGAAGTTGCTTAAACAGATTGCAATACCAGTACATTGGGAGTGCCTTTTTTTGGTCTTATATTTATAAGTACCTTTAACAACCTACGTCTACCTAATTCTAGTACTTTTTTGTTCTAATTGAACCTTGTGCTCGCTTATCCACAGTCTACCCGCAATCACGCTTAAGGTTATTGTTAGGCATCATGGCTTCTTCATGCGATTAAATAAATATTTTTTCTAACCTAATTTGTGACTACAGAAGCCTGCACGTCCTACAACCCAAAAAAATATCTGAATGCTGTCAATGGCTCAGTTTTTGCTGGATAATTTTTTTATTATCTTGTAAATGAAATACTATGACGAGATAAAATGACAACACATTGCCATTATAACGTTAACATTTTCCTACAAAAAAATAATAAATTAAAAATTAAAAAACATTTTAACTGTTTAGTCTTTTAACTACTTATTGAATTATGTTCATACGTGTATTCGCGCATTGCCTTGATTATATGTCTTATACATATGCATATGTATATTTTACCTGCGATAAAATTACAAAAGTACCAAGACAATGTTCGCACTACGTATATGTGTATATATATTTTACATGTACATATATACACACGTGGTAGCATCTTACACGGTAAAAATCGATGTGCGCGCGACTCGGTGAATCGTTGCCGATGTTAAACTGCAGTGCCTAGTGGCCGCCGGGTAATGCGTGTATGTATGTATACCTATATGCGTATATAAGTACGCTCGCGTGATATAATAGCGCCGGCCGGTCGCTAGTCGTGCACACTTACATAAATAAAAAGTAACGAGAAGCGCGAGTGTATAAAGAAAAGAGGAGTACGGGAAGGGAAAAATAAAAGAATATGTGTGTGGAAGGAAAGAGTGTGCGTGGCACGGGCGACGCGGTGACGGCGATTTGGGGCGTTGTAAAATATAACCGCTTGGCTCTGGTTGACCGATGACTTTGAAATGTGGGGCAAAAATGATTTTTTTTTTTTTTTTTTTTTTTTTTTTTCCAGGC